AACGCCCTGCGAACCGCATTTCTGGTACCCGCAGCCCCATCACTGGGTGCACTCAAGGGTTTACCTGTGTGTTCGCCGTTACTGTTGTTGTTTTTTTGCCCAATTTGGACTAATCATTTCGATAAACCCAAAACAAATTTGAATGATGCCTTATTTTACGTGCGAGGCTGCAGACCATCAGGCCTGCTATTCACATGAGCACGCAAATTTTCTTTACAATTTTTCGTCAACCTAGCAGAGACCAGAATGTTTCGTTCGGGCAACAAAAACTGTGATTTTGAATTTCGGCACCGAGCCTTCTTTCAAGGCTTGACTTTCTTTTGCATACAGTAAATCTACAGCACGGAACTAAGTTTTCTCCGAAGGACGACGTACGAAGCCCGTTTAAAATCCAAAGCTTGTGATCGGGTTTGAACTACAACTTCTTGGCTTTCTGGGTGACCGCCGCGTAGTTGGCTGTGAGGCTGAGGCCTTGAGTCGCGCAGGTATTGCGACCCTACCTCCATTCAACCCTCGTCACTACTGAAGAAGCTGAATATGAACCGCGAGACGTCGGCCTATCAGCCACGAGCGGGTCATCCGATAGCCAAGAATCATGGACTCGAGGCGGGAGCTTAACGTGTAGGTTTGAATTGCACTGTCTCGATTCGCTAACCGCAACATCACTGACGCACAGTTTGTTGGAATTAATTACATTGTCTAAAATAAGAAAGAGAGGGTGAATGACCGTAGCTGCTGCTACGCAATCTGGTGGGAACGAATGAGTGGGGGCACCACGGCGAGCGAAAGAGCAGCGGCGGTGCGCAACGACGGTAAGTACCTACCTGCAGGCGGGTCGCCACTGCCGTCGAATTCCATCGACGTCCGTCCGTGTGTTCTTGTACGGAAACGACACGTTCTTCAGGTAGCTCTGCAACAAACAACCCAACTTCGTCACTATTTTTTTGTGTTATTTTAAGGCCGCAGCCAACTTCTTCATTGATAGCGACTTTGTCATGGCGACCACTATTGTACTTGTCACGGTATGGTAACTGAGATGACACGACATGATGATGAGAAGGAGGTGAAAGGACGAATCGGATCCTTCGGTCGCGAGATTGTACGGCACTACATCATGGTGGGCCTTCGCGATCTCGGACACGGTCGGCTTTCGTCAACTGTTGTTATTTTTTTTTTTTGGATTCGCTAAGCGAAATGCCTGAAATGGGGTAAGGCCCGTGTTTAATCATGTCACAAGATATACAGAACCACAAAGGGCGATATAAATAACATTTATACGTTATTGCAGTAATAACATAATTGTCACAATTTTAACATGTATGAAATTGTATAGGCTATTTCTTCTATTTTGAAGGCAGACCAATTATATCAACGAAATACATTACAGTAATTTACAATCGTTGTGGAATATTTTTTTTTCATTTCTAAAATGCTGTATGCTCTAATCAACGTTAAAATGCGTATTTTTAGTATCTGTCGATGTAGAAAACAGTTTGTGCAATTTTGGAGAACATGGCGAAATGTTGAACTAGTTCTTAAACAGAGAAGATGAGCGACTTGCGGGAAGGACGTAAATACAGAAAAAAAATAGATAGGCCCTTAAACCGTACCATAAAAACTGAAAATCTTAAAAAACACGCAAGAAAACAATTCAAGTAAATTGATAAATGTATTATTAGTCCTCTCGAATACAGTAAACGTGCCCCAGTGTTTGAATTACAAGCGACCTTTTTCTCGCTATACTGACAAGTTTCCTGTCATTGTACAATGTAAGCATATAACTTCGTTTGGGCAGGACGACGATTTCTGTCATTCGCAATAGACAAATTCCGGTAATACCACATTCCAACATTGGACGCAAGTTTTATTGTATAAAAAAAACTATTCAGTTATGTTGCAATACAATATTCTAAGGACTGGACGCTGACCATCCCTATTGATATGGTATTGGCATGGAATGGCTAAGTACGCAGACCGAACATCCCTTCACTTACCGATGATAATGGAAGTGGAACAAAATTCATAAGTCTGCGTCATGTTAGTAATCGAATTTACAACGTCGAGTTTAAAAATCCATCATTCAAGTAATCATATTTTCAAATGTTTTCGGCTACGAAGATATTTTTAACCAGGATAGATGGAAAATCGCATTTAATTTTTCAATATAAAGAAATACGGTAGAATTCAAAATATTTAATAATTCAAGATGCGGCTAGTGACGTCATGGCAAAAGGTTTTGCATTTATATCTTTATTCGTGTGGTGTTTAAGGTGGAATTGGTCAACACACATATAGGGACCAATTTGCCACAAAAGCGCCACTGAAGCCAGCCAATGGGGTAGGTTCAGCAATTTCGTCTTCACTCGTCAACTGCTTGCCCAGAGAACTAATACAACACGTAATATTCAGTACACTATTTAGATGTCGATGATGTCACATTTTGTTTTTAAATTACTGTTTCTTTCAGTTTACTGTTCTGTTTTGAAAAGTTTAAGTAACTCATTGGGTAGGAATTGGGACGCCATTTTAACTATTTAAACGTGATTGTAATGTTTATATTCATACATAATAACAAACATTACTAGCAGATGGAAGTCATTCCAATTTTTTCGGTCGTTTCATATCATGATCACTTCTGTTTACTTTCCGATGTTACCAAACAGTAATTTTGAGAGACACATCCCCATTTGTAGATAACTGAAAAACTAAATTTTCTAGGAAATGTTGCTGCAAAGCTATTCGTACTCCATGATATTCAACACAGTTGATCTCATGCGCTACGATTACTAGCAAATACGACCAGTTATCCACAATAATGGATATTATCTTTTTTTACGTCGGCATGCCATGTTTCGGAATGTGCAAACGTTTCTGCATGTTGCAGAGGTCATGGAGAGAATTGTGGGGCCTTCGGTTCCAAACCCGCTCAGCGCGTACATCAGTTTGAACGGGAAATGTAGAGATATACGTAGTACAGTACATATCTGGAACCGAATATTTTCGCTATAGATATCACGCCTTGTCCAGTTTTATTTTCATTAAAAAAAGGGGTCGGTTTTACGAATGAGAATAAAGCGTCTTTCAGAAATAGCAACCGCCAATATGACCAACTTTCGACAACATCAACGTTCGGCAAAGATAAATTCAATAGGTTAGATAATCAACCGGATCGATAGACAATAATTGCTGTAGCACTGCAGTGAGTCGGTGCCGCTGCGTCTGTCGTGACAAACCGAAAAGACAATTATCCGAGTGGGTGCAGCGAGGGGAGCAGTGCTCTGTAGTTACTGACTCTCCGGCTCCCGACTCTCCGGCTCCCGACTCTCCGGCTCCCGACTCCCCGGCCCCCGTCCCACCGGCCCGCCGCCCCCGGGCCTGGGCGTGGGCCCCCGGCCCCCGCAACCTAAGCTCTTGCACGCCGCCCGACACATCCACTTCGGACCCCTACACAGCCTCTTAGGCCGACTCGGCAATCACCGCTCCCGCCTCCATCACTGCTGACATCGCGCGCGCCGGCGCTCCAGCCCCTCGTGACGGCGAGTGGTCGATGGCTGCGCCTGGTTCAACCTCGCGGTTCCGGTGCTGATGATGAAGACGCTTTCATGAATTACTTGTCGGCGTGAGACCTCGACTTAATAAAATCAGTTGATATTTAAATAGGTTTAAATGAATAATGGATATTTGTCTTAAATATTTTTAATTCGACAGCTTTTCTACATAAGATAAGTGCACTAATAGCTGATAATAAAGTTAGGGCACAAGGTGATACTCAGACATTTAAGTGATCACAATCAGGTTACAAAGAGTGAAATTGAAATTCATCAATCGTAACCTCAACTTTGTACTGATGGAAGCGTTGCATGTCAGTTGTATAACCTATATTTACGTTGATGAACTTTCATAAACGGTACGCCTGATTTCATTGAAGAAAGCCGTAAGCATACGAGTATACCTGATTTAGTGTCTCGGATGTGACAGATTGGATTCTGTGTTCTAATTTACAGTGAAGCCCAATACATTTTGTTACCAACGCCAGAACGGTACTAAAAAATTCCGTACGAATCTAAGCCTGCCCGATTATAGTAATTGAATTTCATCTAAGTACGGAAATTCTTATGAATAATATTTTTAAATTATGTTAAAAGTAAATTCCAAGAGGATGTGTTTTTCTGCAGCACATCAGCAGGCGTCAGGCGCGTTTTCTACTACAAACTTGTACCGACATTCCAGTCGCTAACGTCAGCTTCATCACTGTGCATACAAAAAGTGCTGAACCTCAATTGCATGCACTTTAATGAAGGAGGGCTGCATGTGTAATTTCTCTCTTCCTCACTTATGGCGAGTGATGCTCTAGAATCTATGGCACAGATCCAGAATTCCAGTGGATGACGAGATATCATTTCGTCGCAGTAAATCTGTTCTACACTTCAGCTTCTATTGGGCTGAATATATCTAAGGTTCCAGTGTGTTGCATTCTGCTCCCTAACACAGCACTCACACAAATATACCTAGAGGTCATCGATTAACAGAGTGTGACTTCCTCCGTGCAAACAGTTTCAATTTTTTTTAAAAAGGCTGCTATTTTTTGTTTATTTTTTAAAATATAGGAATGTGCATTTATGCAACATGGTATAGTTCTGATTTTTATTAAAATCGGTGAAGTTTTGAAAATTGTAAAGTTCAAATTTATTTTCGAAAATGTCACGCACCTACAATATTAAAGCCATTATATCGTAATGCAATATATCCCTCAATTATTGATTTTTATATATCATGCACTTTCTTGAAAAAATACGAGTTGTTTCGGAGTAATAACAAGTGACACTAAGAGGAAGAGTTTCAGTACACCGCGTACTCCAAGTTTTGTGGAAGTTTATTTCTTGTTTTTATATTTTTCCTGTATCACATTTCAAAACATTTGTGTATGCTACTTTGGTAACGTTACGTCCGCTCTCTTCGACTACGAACAGTCTAGTGAGGAGAGCGAAGGCGGCACTCACCTTCTTAGCGCCGGCTTCGCAGGGCTTGGAGCAGACCGACTCCACGTAGCCCCCGGACAGGTTGCTGAGCTGCAAGGTGGCCGACATGGTGAGCGTGCCGTTGTTCCAGTCGCCCACCATGATGTAGTCGTAGGAGCCGTTGGGCAGCTGCTGGTAGTTCATGATGTCGTACCTGCGCACCAACGCCTTCAGCACATACCCTTGCGCCCGAGCGCAGCTGGAGAAAAGTTGTATAAGAGATTTAGAAGAACAGGAAGTAGTTGGTCGAGTGATGGTGGGAATAGTATTGAATAAATGAGGGAAAATGTGAAACAAATAATTATCTACGTTCAGTGTTGTGAAAAACATTCCAAACATTTTATGTTGCGAGGCAGATAGGGAAGAGCCATCTTTAATCTGCGGTCAATGAATTAGAGACGAGTGAGTGTAAGAGTCATGGGGGATATGTAGCAGTCAACTAACTCCACGCCATTGGCATTCTATGGGTGTGGGAAAAGCGCAGTCCAAAAGAATCATCTGCCACCGATACTGAAGTTTTGCGACCGCACGTTGGAGTGAGTAGTTAATGATTCCGAGCATCGGTTTCAGAACTCGTTAGCTATAGTACATTTTATATCCTAAGAGGTGACAGTGTTCCCTGTTGATTTTCTGAAACGTGTAATTAAGTGCTAAACTAAATGCTGGCTTGTAGGTTTCTCCCTCCAGGTACCTCTTTTAACTCTGCGCTACCACACGGGAACAAATTTCCGACTGATCTTCCAACTTGTGTGATAATGTAGTCAGTTCATGTGTTTGTGGATGCAAGGGAAGTGGAAGGGACAAGAATGGAAGGAAAGATCTTCGGTGCACGGTCTGTTTGTTAATGTACTGCTCCTGCATTTGCTTGGCATTAATCAGAGAAAATATGGAAACTATTGGTCGGCGCTGTCCATTAGAATTCTCATCCAAAGTGTTTGAGTATGATTCAGCTATGCAGTAAAACAGCTGAGTAGCGTGACCACCTTGAGTGACGACGGATATATCCAACTCGCGCTGTCCAGCAGCAGCCGTCAATTAGAGAGCAGGTTCGCGCTGCCAGAAAAAAATGAAGAGCACCTGCAGTGAAAAGTTTCTTCCCACGCAATTCAGCTACATGCTGGTATGATAGAAATTAGTAAAATGAACGAACGTAATTAAAATACGGTGAAGAAAATAGCTAATTAAAATATCACAAGACATGCACTTCATATACTATTTGCAAATAATTAACTCAAAACAGAGAGAAAGGCAACACTTTCTAGAAGAGAGAAAAGAAAAATGGACAGTGAAAAATATACCTACGAAATAATAGATGTAACAAAGAAATTAAATTTGTGGATTTTAATAGCTCCTAAAAGTAGAACAAAGAGAATATTATGTTTAGCCTTCGGAATGTTTTATTCAGTAACACACAAAAGGTTACTATTAATATATTTGTGAGTGTAATAACATCGATAAAAAATTAAGTGACATTATGTTTTGAATGTCCAGAGAATAATTCATTCACATGTCGCTTAATGTCAATTGATACTTTTTGCAAATGCAATCTTCGCAGTTTTTCATTTTGATAGTACATTAACAATATAATTTTTCGATTTATGAAATGTCGACATATAAACCCTAAAAACAATTCTTCCAGTCGCCACACAATGTTTCGAAATGTTAGCTTCGTAATATATGTACCTGTATATGATATACACAGCTATTTTCAAGCATTTAACTGCAATGCGTTCTCTGACAGAGGGAAAACGTGCTTATTTAGACTCTACAAAAGGTAAAGAGGTCGAAACGTTTGGGACCAAACTTCTCCTAACTTCGCGTGGGTGGCGTGAGGCTGGTATTACGCCAACTCTGAAAGGATATTGGCTAAGAAAAGTACTGAAAGAGATCTCTTTGATAAGGAAATGGAGTGAACATACTATTGGAAGGAGTTATTTAACCAGAAAACTGTAAAAGACGAACAACGAATTCTTTACTCTAAGTCGCGTACATATTTTTCCTTTTACGGATTTCACTGATCACATCTAAAGTTGTGAGAAACTCAATTTTGCCAAATGACTTGTTATAAAGAACCCAGAAGACCCTTTTAAACGTATCTAACAAAGACGACCTGTAATAATGCACCTGAGAGAACTTTTCAACAAGCTTCAGATCGCCATTTTTAACATCCAGCCATTTTTAAAACTCGTAATATAATAACCAGGTAAATTAAGTAAGTTGTACGTAGATTATACCAAATAAAGTAAATTATAATCACGTAAATCACAATGATCACTCATACTATCACTTCTTAGAATTACGTGACAAATAATTACCAATTTACAAATATGATACAAATGTTTCTAATTCTTACTTTTCCACAAACACAAAGATTCGAACAATTTCTTTTTAAGTTTCTCGAAATATATATTTTTTTAAGAACATGCAATCTCAAAATTGTGCATTTTCGAAAACGCAAACATTTTCTCAAAAACTGCTCGAAATTTTTTCTCGAAAATATCACATTAATATAGGTTTTATTTTTCTCTGTTCCGAAATATTCAAATTATGCTGTTCATTACTTCGAGAGGAGAAACATTTTAGGTTTGACGCACGTTCTTTTCATTTAAGTAAAAGTATTCGATGAAATTACTGTACAGTACTGGACTGTACAGTTTTATTTTTGAGTCTTATAGTAGTGGGTAACTTCAAAAGTAGAAATTAGAAGCGAGACTCAGTTCTATCGAAATCCATTTATTGTCAGAGAAATGTCAAGACTAAAACCCATGGGTCTGCTTTGTGATAAACAAACATAACAAGAAGTGAGAATGTTTCAGTTGGAAACGGAATGTGCTTTGAATTCGAAGGCAGCAGAAAATGACAGTGACCTTTATTCTATGAAGTCTTTCTAGAAAAAGAAGGCTTCGAGAGGTACAGTGTGAGAAGTAGTGGATTTTCTGAGTCCCTTGAGAGACGTCAAAGAAAATACGTGAGTGTGGTGATAAAGCAGCTGTGGGGCTGCGCGAATAAACCAATACGTATTATGGTGAGCCGAAGCAGCTGACACTCAAAGAAGTGAGTGCAATAAGATATCAGAAGATTTGAAAGACTCTTCTACAGTAGTAAGAGAATAAACAAAACGTGCAGTTCTATTTCTCATCGTACAATTTTTAGAGGTGTCTCAAATCCACAAAATCCACTCTAATTTAGAATATTTATAAAATGCTAGTAGTTATAAATATATATAGTTTTTTTTATTTAAAAGTAGATTATATTAAAATAATTATTGCTTTAACAGGAATTAATTTGTTAATGATGTCGGCTGCCATTAAGAGCGAGATACGCAAAGTCGTCATCTTGCAATGCTGTAGATCTCAAAAAGCGTTCACAGGAAGTTAACTAACATCACACCTCGTCTGTTGCGTTTTGGGAAATGAAGTAAGAATGGACCGTGACCATGTATAAATTCGACTTTTGCTCCTTCTCTTGTCCGAAAAGAAAAAAAATAAATGTTTCAGAAGAGGAATCGACGAGGAACTAATAGTCAGGCGACAATGTTGAAAGAAACGTCATGAATCAAGAATGTAAAAGTGAAAACGACATTTTTTTAAAAAATGTCTCACACCTAACACAAGATTTGTTGGTACATCCACAAAATACATTCCTCTAAAACTTGGCACTTTTTTCGCCAAGTTTACAATAAATTCTCTGTACGTAAACGAAAAATGAAAAGTTCATTAAATTGTTTTAGTCGAAGGCAGATGTTTTAAACAGTTGCGGATGATTGAGATTGTATTGTGTCAGTTCCTAGCGGAAAAATGGGAGAAAAATCAGTTGGTAGTGTCGTGAGTTCATGTGCCAGCGAGTGCGCCTATTAAAATATTTTCAGTGCGCGAACATTAAAAAAATACGAACAGAGAAAGCCATGAAATAAGCTATTTAAATATTGGTTAACGAATGTAAAATTAATTTTAAAAATGTGCCAAAAATCGAGAGAAGAGAAGATGGTACATTTTTTGAGATATTAATATTAATCGTAGGGTTTGTGCCCAGCAGTTGCGGAGTCCGCATGACCATCTTGTTCCTGAATATGCCGATTATTAGGGGTTGGGTTAAGCCGGAACGTTTTCTCCCACCCCGATCCACATTTGGAGAAACGTGGAATGATGATGATGAAGAAGATGATGGTAAGGTAATGGGATGGGATGGGATGGAAACATCCCCGTGGCTCGTTGTACAGGATTTTGTTCAAATGTTCATCAGGGAAGGGTCACGAACTCACTGATGTTAAAACGCCCTGCGAGCCGCTTTCTGGTACCCGCGGCCACCCATCACTGGTGCACTAAAGGCTTTACCTGTGTGTTCGCCGCTACTGGTGTTGTTTTTTGCCCAATTTGACCTATTCAATTCGATCAAATCCAATCCAAATTAATGACGCCTTATTTTACGTGACGAAGCTCAGACCATCAGGCCTGCTATTTCACCTGAGCACGCAAATTTTGCTACAATTCTTTCGTCATCTAGCAGAGAAAGAATGTTTCGCTCGGGGAACAAAGAAGAGCAGCGGCGGTGCGCAGCGACGGTACGTACCTACCTGCCAGGCGGGTCGCCCTGCCGGTCGAATGCCCGTCGAATTCCACGACGTCGTCCTGCTGTATCTTGTACGGAACGACACGTTCACACGGGTAGCTCTGCAACAAACGACAACCACTTCGTTCACTGTTTTTTTTTGTTGTTATTTTAAAGCCGCAGCCAACTTCTTCATTATTAGCGACTTTGGCATCGCCCCGACCTACCTAATTGCTTGTAACGGTATGGTAACTGAAGATGACACATGATGATTGTTTGATTAAAGGAGTGAAAGACGAACGGATCCTCGGTCCGAGATTGCCTACCGCACTACATCATGGGACTCCGATCTCGGCCACCGATCGCGGCTTCGTCACTTTTTTTATTTTTTTCGCTACCGAAATTGCCATTGAATGGGGTAGGCCGGCTGTAGATCAATTCACAAGATATACAAACCACAAAAGGGCGATAAAAAATACATTTATCTTTATTGCAGTATAACATAATTGTCCACAATTTAAAATGGTATGAAAATTGTATTAGGCTAGTTCTCTCTTTTTGGGCAGACCAATGATATCAACGAAGTACATTACATATAATTTAATCTTGTTGGAATTTTTTTTCAATTCTAAAATGCTGGATCTCATTAATCACGTTAAAATCGTATTTTAGTATCTGTCGATGTAGAAAACAGTTGCTGCAATTTGAGTAAAAATGCGAATGTTGAACTAGTTCTTAAACAAGAAAAAAGATGAACGACTCGCCGAAAGACCGTAAATACAGAAAAAAATAAAATAGATGGCCCGTACCGAATCTTAAAAACCTTAAAAAATTTAAAAAAAAACACGCCCAAAAACGCATTCAAGTAAATTGCATCATTAGTCCTTAAATACAGTAAAACGTGCCCCAAGGGAATCTGTAAGCGACCTTTTTTTTCGTATACACAAGTTTACGAATGTATACAAGGAAATACAGTATAACTTACGTTGCAGGACGGACGATTCCTGTTCGCATTAATACAACATTCCCGGTAATACGACCCCATGTCCACATTGAGCAAGTTTTATTGTATTAAAAACCCTTCAGTTATTTTGCAATACTATTTTCTAAGACTGACGCTGACCATCCTCAATATGGAATGGTTATTTGGCATGGAACTGTTAAGTACGAGACCCAAACCTCCCCTTACATTAATGATGATTAATGGAGGTGGAACAAAATTCATAAGTCTGCCGTCCATGTTAGAAATCGAATTTACTATGTCGAGTCAAAGAATTCATCATTTCAATGTAATCATATTCAAAATGTTTCGGACTACGAAGTTATTTTTTTAACAGAATAGGGAAATCGTATTTTTATTTTTTTAATGTAAAGAAATACATAGAATTTCAAAACGTTTATAATTCAATATGGCTGGCCCGACGTCATGCAAGGTTTTGCATTTATTTCCTTAATTTAATGTTGGTCACTTAGGTGAATTGCGCCAACACACATAAACCAATTGCAACCAACAGCACCACTGAAGTCAACTCGATGTAGGTTTACGCAATTTCGTCTTCACTCACTCAAGCTCTGCGCATACAAAAACGTATATTTGTACGTTTCTATGTAGATATTTGTACATTTTTGTTTAAATGACTGTTTATTTCAGGTACTGTTCTGTTTTGACAAGTTCTAAGTAAACTAATGCGTAGGATAGGAACGCCATTTTAAACTATTTTAACGAAAAACGTGATTTGTAATGTATATGCATACGTTAAAATACAAACATTACCAGCAGATAGGCGAGTCATTCCACAGATTTCGTCCGGTGTCACATCATGGTCACTAGTGTTTTGTTCTGGTTGTTACCAAACAGTTCATTTGAGAACACATCCCATTTTGTAGATAACTCGAAAAAAACAAATTTCCTAGAAAGCGTTTGCTCAAACGCTATTCGTACTCTTATGATATTAGAACAAGTTGATCTATGTGCTACCATTACCTGCCAAATACCGACCCAGTAAATTCAAAATAATGTATATTATCTTTTTTAACGTCGGGCATGCCATGTTTGGAATGTGAAAACGTTTCTGCATGTTGCAGAGGTCATTGCGAGAGAATTGTGGGGCTCGGTTCAAAACAAACATTGCTCAGGCGTCACATTAGTTGAAAGGAAAATGTAGAGCATATACGTTAGTACAGTCATATCTGGAACCAATAATTTTCGCTATTAGATATCACCTTGTCAGGTTTTATTTTCACTGAAAGGCGTCGTTTTACGAATGAGAATAAAGCGATCTTCACAAAAAAGCAACCGCCAATTATTAACTTTTCGACAAAACTAACGTTCGGAAATAAATACATACGTTGGATAAAACAAGTAATGGAGAATATTGCTGTAAACACTGCCGGTTGAGTCGGTGCGCTGCTTTCTTGTACCGTGACAAAAGAAAGATTATACAAGTGGTGCAGCGAGTGGGAACAGTTGCTTCTGTCTAGTTCGACTGCAGTGTGTATAATCGTGAACTCGTTAAAAAATAGTATGCCAAGACCTTAACGTCATGTTTACAAAGGTAGAGCCACGTCCGTGGATCAAAATTGAATGGCTTTCGAAGGGGTTTTTTCCGGGGAGGGAGTTTGTTTTTAAAAAGGGCAAAAAGGGGGAAAAATTGTTTTTAGGGGGGCTGTTTTGTGGGAAAGGGCATGTGTGATTGCTTGATTTGCCAACTCCCACCAGTCGAACGATGGGGTTAAAGCGTTAAGAGATAGCAGAGTTGTTGTGGATGGATACCCTATTCGACCTCACTTGAAAGCTCTTAGCGCCGCTGGCAATGAAGATTTTGTGGAGCATGCCACCTTACTCCACATATGAGTCTCTGTGGAATTATATCTCCTCAGTAAAATTAAATAATTCCCACTGCGAAGATCTGCGATACAATACCAAGAAGAAATATTCATACATCAGAGCGGTTCAATATGGGACATCAACAGAAATAGACCGCGGCAAATTATGACAAACGCCCTTCCCTAACATTGATAAAGGTTCATTAATAAAACTGAGGCGATTATATGCGAAAGGTTGTTTAAATACCAATACATTTGTCATATAGTCATTCCAGAGAAAAAAAACATTTCTTCATAACTTTTATCTAAACCCTCGTATATAGTATTTAGGCTATTAGAGTGCCTGCAGCAGAAAAAAAAAAAACTGGCTCTATGTAACTATCAGAAAACGAAATGGTTTTTCAAAACGTAGCATGCACTATTCTTAAAAACAACAAAATAAAAGTTGTTTACAAACATTGCAGTAACTAATGATTTAAACAAAAAAACGTTCACCAAATATTGCAATACCTTAGTTACAGTAATTGTAGTATTTAACAATTATTTAATCATCAAGGATATAAAATAAATTTGCTGTGCATAAGGAAATATGGTAAATAGAAAATTTTAATGGACTGGCTAATCTGTTTCTTGGAAGCCTTGCTGTTGGCATGATCTATCATATGCGTCTGCATTGTTTTATTTCAATGGTCTGCGAGTATCTGAAATTCGTAATAAGAAGCAGATACCGATAATTCACCATTCCCAAGACATCGTTCAATTAGAATGTGGTAAATTAAACAAGCTGAGTAAATCAAGACCCGAATTCAAACGTGTCCCCGCCAACATGAAATGTGAAAACTTCCCGTCTCTTCCCCCGTTTAAAGCTTATCTCTAAATAAATATATTTCCCAAAAAATTTACAAATTCTACTCCCAAAAGCAGTTGGCCATGTTTTAATGCTCTACGTATAATGACAACATGAATTTATAATTCAAATAACCATACCTCTCAATCATTGCATATTATCATTGTCCTAATTTTATTTCCTACATTGCTAAACCAAACCTACACTGCTGTCATTTCTGAAAACACACAAAGAAACTCGAAACTACAAAACTCATAATGATTGTGCAATAATTCAAAATGAAACTTTCTTTAAAATCTGAATGCAATGGACTATCAGAAAGTATGTTGTTTCTAGCTTTACATACAATTGATATTGCCTAGTATTAGTGAAACTCTTTCAGAGAGAAATCCAATATCCCACGTTATAAATCTAGCAAAAATTATGAATTTCTAATAATGACTCAGCTGGGACGCACAATTATTTAAAAATTAATATTTATATAATGCCAATTGTGCAAATTTCTTTTTTGAAAGTTCTTGAATGTGCGGTAATATAAATTGAAATAAATTACTTAAACGCATATTATCATAAGGAACAATACAATTTTAACACAAGTCAATGAATCATTTACAGACGAGAGATTTTGGCGGTAATTTTCCAAGCTTTCCGTTGTTTACATTCAGTAAAGTTTGAATTTATTCAAATTTAAAAATAAAAGAACGAATTTATTTTTTAAATATTTTAATCAAATAAAATAGTTAGCGTTTCCAGTTTCCCCTTCTTTAATTCACAGACTGTCTTCTTTGAAAGTTATGACAGTGAAACAAAGGTATAAAAATTCCTGAAAAACAAATTATTGAACTGAAAGTAAAAATACATAAGCCTAATAATATTACTACGTATGTATGTGCTTTAGCGCGACATCCCCTGTAAAACGGACTCAAGGACTACCGGCGAACGCCCTAACCTCGCGGCCATGGGTTAAATGGACGTGCGGTCAGGTTTAGGCACGAATCAATTCCTATGCCGCGTTATTTTGGTCTTTCTCCAACCTGAGAAAGTGAATTTTCTCATCAGTCATTGCCAGGCAACATATACGAGTTTACTGGCGGACATGCAAGGGAAATGCACAATTAAAAAAAACATAATTTTATTACAACAATGGCAACAAACACAATGGCAACGGTAATTGTTGATCATAAACCTAGTACATTACTACCACGAAAACTGAGAGAACGGCAACAGATGCGTAGTGCATGTAAACGTTCGATGGCGCAAAAGAAGATAATTGCGACGATGACCAAAGCGATGAGAGGTTGCTTGAGAGGCGTGAGTTGGATTGAGTCCACAGTCATGATGACAGCGGTAAACTATATTATGGGGCAATACGGGGCATGCGA